AGGATACAGGAGATACAACACAAGAGAGACATGAAGGGAATCCCCAGATTGATGGTGAAGGAAAAAATCCTAGGATAATGGCTAGGCAATACATCCCATGGCTATCATCTAGCAAAAAATTATTTCCCCTCTTCTTGTATATGCGCTGGCTTTGACCAATAGAATGTAGTGAGAGTGATGCAGTTTCAGTTCCAGACCTACCCTTGGAGGCCTGGAAGCTTCTCTCTCACTCTTTTGGAGCCCTGAGCCAAGAAGTTTGACTACAGTGCTAGAGGGTTAAATCCAGTCATAATTTGGTGTTCTCCATCTGTTGAATTAGACAGAAAGAGAAAGTGGAAGAAAGTTTCCTCAAGCTATTCTTACTAACTTAAAACTAACAACTTACTAACTTAAAACTAACTTCAAACTCAAATGTGACCCTAGAAAGACCACCAAGTATGCAAGAAGACAAATCCACTATGAGTGATAGTCAGAAAAATCAACATATTAGAGAACACTCCTACCACACCCTCCACAAATACCCTTCATTATTATCTGGAATTGTCAAATACAAATACAAAATCATTGTGTAAAGAATTTTTACAGAAATAAAGAATGCACTTATAGGGGCGCCTGGGTGGCTCAGTGGGTTAAGCCTCTGCCTTCGGCTCGGGTCATGATCCCAGGGTCCTGGGATCGAGCCCCACATCGGGCTCTCTGCTCAGTAGGGAGCCTGCTTCCCCCTCTCTCTGCCTGCCTCTCTGCCTACTTGTGATCTCTGTCTGTCAAATAAATAAATAAAATCTTAAAAAAAAAAAGAATGCACTTATAAGGGAAAACATGCAACAGGAAATCATCAGGATCATACAATTTGCAAAAATAGAACTCATAGAAATGTAAAGCATGGGGCACCTGGCTGACTCAGTCAGAAGAGCATGCAACTCTTGATCTTAGGGTTGTGAGTTTGAGCCCCACATTGGATGTAGAGATTACTTAAAAATAATAAAAATTTAAAAAACTAAAAAGTAAGTGTGAAGCATAACATTAAAGAAACTTAATGGAGATGTACAAAATAACGATGAGAAATACCTTGTAAACTATGAAAAGAAATTTCAATGAGTGGGCTAATCAGCATATTAGATACCGTTGAAAGTAGAATTAAACTAAGAGATATATCTCAAGAATTTATTCAGGGGGTACCTGGGTGTCTCAGCGGGTTAAAACCTCTGTCTTTGGCTCAGGTCATGACCCCAGAATTCTGGGATGGAGCCCCACATCAGGCTCTCTGCTCAGTGGGGAGACTGCTTCCCCCTCTCTCTCTCTGCCTGCCTCTCTGCCTACTTGTGATCTCTGTCTGTTAAATGAATAAATAAAATCTTAAAAAAAAAAAGAATTTATTCAGAATGCAGTGGAGAGGCAAGAAGAAAAAACCCAAGAGAGTTGTGAGACATGAATAATAATAGAATGAGAATGTCTGACATCCATCTGATTGGAGTCCCAAAAGGTGAAATTGGAGAGAATGGAAAGAAGTAATGTTTAAAGATGGGGTGCCTGGGTGGCTTAGTGGGTTAAGAGTCTGCCTTTGGGTCGGGTCATGGTCTCAGGGTCCTGGGATCAAGCCCCGCATTAGGCTCTCTGCTCAGTGGGGAGCCTGCTTCCCCCCCCCGCTCTGCCTATCTTTCTGCCTACTCGTGATCTCTCTCTCTGTGTCAAATAAATAAAATCTTTAAAAAAAATAAAGAAAATAAAGAAATAATGACTGGGAAATTTCAGAATTAATGAAAACCATGAATACACAGATTCAGAAAGCAAAACATATCCCAAATATGATCAAGAACAAATAAATTCATACCTTGTCACATCATAACAAATCTGTTGCACATCAAATATATCTAGAAGATCTGGAAAGCAGAAATAAAAAGACAGATGACCTACAAAAGAATGATAATTAGAGTAGCAGCTGATTTCACAACAACAGAAGCCAGAAAATGATGGAATAGCTTCTATAAAATAAGACAAAATTACTATCCACTTAAAATTGTTTACTCAGCAAAATACTATCCAATAACAAGGGGAAAAATAATAATTTTTGTAAGAAACAAGCTTACAAGGAATTTACAAAGAGACCATCTCATAAAAAGTTACAAAGTGGGGCGCCTGGGTGGCTCAGTGGGTTAAAGCCTCTGCCTTCAGCTCAGGTCATGATCCCAGGGTCCTGGGATCGAGCCCCACATCGGGCTCTCTGCTCCGCAGGGAGCCTGCTTCCTCCTCCCTCTCTCTCTGCCTGCCTCTCTGCCTACTTGCGATCGCTGTCTGTCAAATAAATAAATAAAATCTTTAAAAAAAAAAGTTACAAAGTATTTCGTTTAAGATGTAGGAAAGTGATCCCAGAAAAAACAGAGGTAGAAATGCAAAAAGGAATAGTGAACAAAGAGAATGAAGATATAAAGTTAAACCCAAGCAACTAGTAACTAAACAAAGTAATACAGGAGTATAACCTGTGGGGATTAAAGAAGAACTGAAGGGGTGCCCGGCTGGCTCAGTCAATAGAGCATACAGCTATTGATCTCAGGGTCGTGAGTTTGAGTCCCATGATGAGCATAGAGTTTACTTTAAAAATATAGAGAGTGGGGTGCCTGGGTGGCTCAGTGGATTGAGCCTCTGCCTTCGGTTCAGGTCATGATCTCAGGGTCCTGGGATGGAGCCCCACGTCGGGCTCTCTGCTCAGTGGGGAGCCTGCTTCCCCCTCTCTCTCTGCCTACCTATGCCTACTTGTGATCTCTGTCAATTAAATAAATAAAATCTTTTAAAAATATATATATATATATATAAAATATTAGTATTTTGTATTTTACCTTTTCAGTAAACGGTACATTGAATATTGGAGAAGTAATAGTAATGAACCTTTATGAGTCAAATAACAAAGCATCAAAACATATGCCCCCACACTTCTGGAAAAAGTGAAGTGTGTAAGGACAACTCCCTTCACTTATAGCTAATGAAGGGAACCAAAACCATTTAAAGACAGTGGGGAATGGGATGCCAGGTGGGCTGGCCCAGTCGGAAGAGCACGGAACTCTTTTTTTTTTAATTTAAGATTTTATTTATTTATTTGGCGGAGAGAGAGATATCACAAGTAGACAGAGAGAGAGGGAGGGGAAGCAGGCTCCCTGCTGAGCACAGAGCCCAATTCGGGGCTCGATCCCAGGACCCCAGGATCATGACCTCAGTCGAAGGCAGTGGCTTTACCCACTGAGCCACCCAGGCACCCCAAGCATGGAATTATTGATCTCAGGGTCAGACTCGAACTCATTCGAGCCCCACTTGGGTGTTGGGTGTAGAGATGACTAAAGATAAGTAAATAAATAAACTTTAAAAATCAAAAATAAAACAGAGGGAGAGAGGAGTGCTGTGATTACAGACAACAGTTCCCAAGGTCTAATTTAAAACCAATACTTATAACCCTAGAGAGTGACCGCCAAAGGCCAGAGCATGGGGCTGGGAGGAATTACTGCATTCACAGAGCGGAGCCTAACAGAACTCCTAATGTTTACAACATTATGAGCTTCCAAATCCAGAGAGGGTGGAACCAAATATGTCTTCCTATCTTTTCCTTCTTCTGACTTGAAAGTGATGAAAATGGCCTCTGGAGAGAGACCAAGAAAGGAGGGGATGTGAACTGTGATTGAAATGAAGTTTTCCAAGCTCCAGCAGAGGTGAGAAAATACCCCAGGGCCCATGAGGACAAGCCCCCCTTAGAATGGGGTGTGCCCTGAACTGGCCTGAGGCAAAGGTAGTAATTCCAACCTCTCAAGGGGGGAGGGAGGGACAAACAAACAAAAAACCCCAACTTATCTCTGAGTTCTGTGATCCCTTTGCTCACCTGAGAGTTTTTCATTATTTGACGGTTTGCTTGTTGAGGTTTTTATTTTTGTATTATTCAATCCTGTAAACTAAAATTCAATAGTTTTCCTGAAGAAAAAGCATTTTCAGGGGCACCCAGCTGGCCCAGTCGGTGGAGCATGCAACTCTTGATTCTGGGGTTGTGAGTTCCAGCCCCACATTGGGTGTAGAGATTACTTAAAAATAAAATCTTAAAAAAAAAAAAAAAGCGTTTTCCATACGACCATATGATTGCAATGTTATAAAAACATATTTCTGTCTATCTATTTAACCCATTTAACATTTAGTGATAATTTTGGATGGGTGGTAAGATTTGGGAAAATTTATTGCTGTCTTTTTACTTTCCTGCCTGGCTTACGTTAAGAGAAGCAGGTGTCATTTTACAAACATAATTTAGCAGCCGTGTAAAAAGAGAGAAAAACAGAGCTAGAGAATTACAGCAACAATCATGTACAGGCTGAGGGCTTACTGTTTACCAGGCGCTGTTCTAAACCCTTTACAGATGTTAGTTTGAATCACGAAATTCTCAATATTTGGCTGTTCTTGACCGACAGAAACAGCAATTTCATGGGGTTCAACTTACATTTACTCCTCTAACTTTTGAACACCCTTAAGATGAAGATGGAAAACCAGAGCTGCTAGACATGTAGAGAGAAATCAAGGCTCTTCTTCTTCGCAGAACCCCTAGTCCCCTCACCCCCAGGGCCCGGTCTTCTGGTCTTGCCCTCCGTCGCCTCCTCTACAGGTCAGGCGCTACCCAGACAGAGGGACCACTCTCTGCTCCAAGATGCCTTACGAGGTGGAATCAGCCATCAGCCTGAGTGCCAAAGGTAGCACGTATGGCCTTGCTTTGACTCTGTCTGTCCCCGGAATGAAGCCACTCAGGATTTCTAGGCAGCTCCCGTTCTTGGAAACTTCTGCTGCAGCCGGGGATGGATGGTGTCCTCGCAATTCCCAATGGAGCCCCCATCCATGTCCCCCTTCAGGGCACTGAAGCAGGACACATTCTATAGTTTCACGTTTATTTTCAGAAAGTGATGAAGACAAAAGAAATAGATCCAGACACCACTCTCTGTACAATAAATAGCCTTCCCATTCAAAAAGAAAAAGAAAGAAAGAAAGAAGAAAGAAAGAAAGCGCACACAACCAACCCCCACCCCAAGACGTTGCTCCTTGAGGTGTGCACCAACCCTGCCCCCCTTTCCAGCCTCTTCCTCGGGACCCCACTGTCTCCAAGCCGGTGGGGCCCAGGCCAGCTGCCCCAAAGTCATCTGAGTCCCCTTGCCGACTGGCTGGCTGGTTGTCATCAAATCTTCAGCGTCTTTATTTGCACACACCTGACCCCTAACCCACCCCACAGAAGAGAGGAAGCTCCTTTGTGTCCAAGACTTTCTTGTTCTGTTTTCTGTTCTCCAGCTGGGAACCCACAGCCAGAAGCAGCACCAGGTAAATGACCGTAGTTAGGGCAATGGAGGGGGCAGGGAACACGCCTCTCAGGTTTCGCTTTGGGCCCGAAGCAGCAAGTGAACCCCAGAAGCCTTCTTGGCGCCCCTCTTCCTCAACCAACTACGAAAGGAGAAGGGACAGAGGGAGCTGGGGGCCTCCCAGTCCTGAGTCGCCTGTCTGCGGTACTTGATGTCCTCCAACCTGATGACATTGTTCTTGTCATGTCATCTGTTCAATTGGGAAAGTAGCTATAAAACTGACCTTCAGTTTCCTTATCAAAAGGAGAAGGGGCCCCAGCAGGGGAGGAGCTGTCGCCACTGGAAGGATAGGGGGACACACGCCTCCTCTTAGAGTCTCCTTCACCCAGTCCTGAGTCACTGGACTCTGGCCGGATGGGGGTGATCTCAGTCCACACTGAAGGGGAGCCCTGGTCCTCTGGCCCCCGTCCCTCAGAAGCTCCAGGACCAGGTTCCATGGGCAGAGTCCGCATGGGGCGGAACCAGCTGCCTGGGCCCATCTTGGGAGGGTACTGGGGGGCCATCGGCCAGCCAGCTCCAGGCGCCAGGACGTCCTGGCCTCGGTAGTAGGACATGGTGGGTCCAGGGGCGGAGGGCAGGAAGGCAGGCTTCATGCTGACTGCTCGAAACTCGGCCTCATAGCTGTGGTCCCGGGGGGCCCCCAACCAGTAAGGCTGGGAAGCCACATCCTTGGCCTGCCCAGGAAGGTCGGGGTAGAAGCGGCTGGGAACGGGATACTGGTTCGGTAGAAGAGGAGAGTAGTGGTCTCCCCCGAGCAATTGACAATTGGGTCCGGGCGGGGAGGGCACGCTCGTGTCAACAGATGCATACATGCTAAAAAAAAAAAAAAAAAAAAAAAAGGCAAGAAAACAGGGGTCATGAACAGAATCCATCGCCTGTGAGCCTGCCTGCTGCCTGCCCCTCCCTGGACCTTCTTTCCCTGGCCTCACTGCCCTCCAAGCATCCGTCCCATCTCTTCCCACCGGCTCCCACCCCCAGGGGCAGAGAGGAGACAGGCTCTGCGCATGTCTGGGGTCAGGCCTCAGGAGGGATCAAGAGGAGGCCCTTGGTGAACTGAACCCAGCAGCACTTACGACTCAAAGTTCTCCCGGAATCCTTTGGCAAAAGGGTTGTTATCAATTTTCAGCTGAGTAATCTAGAGAGAGGGGAAATGGAGGCACCTGAGTCCTGAGTCTGGGGCTAGGGAACTCCTGAATTTCCCGCTGAGGAAGACGGTGAGCCCCATTCTCCCCCTCCTGCCCCGCGCAGCTTGGGCAGGCCGAAGGCCCTCACCTCCGCGTTCTGGTAGGCGGTCACGGCGATGAACTGGGTCTCTTGGAAGGTGAAGACGTGCGTGTTGGAAGCGCTGCAGGCTGCCTCCGGCTCCCCGTTGTTCACCTCGACGATGTGCAGCCGAGGCTGGTACTTATGGAGGGACTGGAGCACGATCATCTAAGAGAGAACCGGATGCTTGTGGGGGTCGACGGGTCCTCTACCCCCACCCTGGCTGGCCGATGGCCAGGCTAGAAGGGACCCTGAGGCCATCATGTCCACTGCCCCACCCTGCTACCATGTGACTTCCTCCAGGTGCTCTAGCTCCGGTCCCCAGACTCTCTAGGGCATCAGCTCTGCCCCCTTGCCCCGTCTCCTACCCCCCAGATGTGCACTGCGACTGAAGTGTTAGAACAAGCAAGGTTTTTCAGGGACTGGGTTCTGTTAACAGTATTGCTCAACTCAGAGAGACTCTGCATCCATTGCCACAGGTGATGGCAGCTTGGGGTTCGGTGAAGAAACCCCCAGGGCTGGTTTGGCACATGTCATCCCGGATGCGAGCCCACATCTGCCCGTGAGAGTCAGCCGCCTCCCACCTCATCTTCCCCCCTGCCCAGGCATGTGGAAAAGAACAAGTCAGAGAGGAAGGAAGATGACTTTAACAGAATCGAATCAGCCAGGAGGGGTGGGGGTTGGCAAGGAGTCCTACCTGGGTCACATTGTTAGAGGCCCCTTTGTTGTTCGTGAGCTTTAGTTTCCCAAATGAAACTTCCTGGCGCATCCAGTGGGCCCCGGTATTGGGGGAGTCTGGGTGGACGTAGAGGCGGTTTCCTGTGGGCAGTGAACCTCGTTGGCACGCAGCCCCCTAGGGACCAGACCCGTAGTGATGTGGGGCTTCTTTGCCTGTTCTGAGGGGGATGTCAGAAAGGCTGCAGGGGGAAGGCCAGATGCGGCAGGGCAAGGGGAGGTGGGGGCAGAGGACTGAGCAGAAGACAGGCTAAGGCAGAGTAGAGAAGGGAAGACAAACCCAACCAGAGTGAGAAGTGGGAGGGGATAAGGGTGGGATGGGGAACTCAGGTGTAGGGGGCAAGGGCTTGGGGGTTCCTCCTGGATCCACCAGGGGGCGCCCAGCCTCAGAGGAAAAGCGTGCCCACCGTTCCACAGGGCGCTCCTACCTGGCATGCTGCCCTCAGCCTTTCCACACTGCACCCACTTGCCGCTCTGATACCGCCAGTGGTGCTGGTCCACCAAGACCACGTCCACGAACATCCGGTAATGGCTAGTGGGCTCCAGTCCCGCCACAGTAAATGACAAGAATGGGAACATCCTCCTGGGGAGAACAGAGAGACCCGCCAACATCCATCAGCCCCCCAACCTCGCAGACGGCCACCCCCATGCAGAGGCTTTCATTTCGGTGGTGTGGTGTGCTGGCATCGGCTGGCATCCCGCGAGAGAGCCGACTGGAAATGACCAGGACTTGTGCCAGGCATTTGTTATGTACCGGCAATATTTTAAAATTAAATTATGTAAACTTACAATTAACTATACTGCCTTATAAGCCAAGGTAATAATTACTCAAAAATCATCACTTCTCAGTTCGTTTACTATATTTCACTATTATCTCTGCTTTTGAAGCGACTTATATCTCTTGTTCCTGCAAGATGGAAATACTAGACACCGCACGAATGCCCAGCTCTTCCTGACTTTGCATTCAGTGACTCCGCGTGCACAGCTCGAAATCAGGCACCACAGGAGTCTTCACACCATGGAAATCAGCAAACACTATGAATCAGGGCTTTTCAGTGTTTTTCGTCCTGAGGATCGGTTTCTAGACATTAGCTACAAGGCACTGTCTCTAATCTTCGTTTGCTTCCTAGTGGGGAGCAAAGCCACAAGCCAGCCCCGCACAGGCACTTCCCAGTAGGCCCTCATGCCTCAGCCCCCCAAGCCCTGGGGTGGTCTCAGGACTTGACCCATCCTCTCCACAGCAGCCCTCACGGTGCTCACGCATTCCCGGCCCAGCAGCGCCCAGGCTTTGCCTGCCCCACCCTCCTGGACCTGATGTCTATAGTACGGCCTGTCCCAGGCCTGAGCCTCATAGAAGTACCTAAATTCCCAGCTGAAACTTTCCATCCACCCGAAAAAGAACTCTATTAAGTACAATTCTCACGCTCAAAGTCTTGCTTCCAGGGGAAAGCGGAGGAAGTCAAGGTTGGGATGCTGCATTATCCTCCCTTGTGCCAGAGTAATAGATCAAGAGAAAGAAGCACTTCCCTACCCAACCATCTCTGCCACTTCCACCATCACCACTCCCACCTATACCATCACTATAACCACCAGTGCACCAACAACCCCATCACCACCATCACTACAACCACTACCTCCACCAACACCCCATCACCACCATCACTATGACCACCACCTGCACGAATACCCCCATGACCACCATCACTACAACCACTACCCACACCAACACCCCCATCACCACCATCACTACAACCTCCACCTCCACCCCCATCACCACCATCACTACAACCACACCTCCACCATCACTGCCCCCATCACCAAACCGTCACCTCCATTATCACCATCACTACAATGGTCCCCTCCACCATTACTGCCCCTACTACAACCACCACCTCTACCAGCACCAGGCTAATGGCCTAGCTTTTCTTTCTTAACCCAAACAGGAAGAGTAGAATTTGCAGGTTGGCAGAATCAAACTCTCATCAGAACGACTTCGCATTCCCACACACCTCTCCCTTCCTACAAGAAGTCATACCAGATGGGAAGAAAGACACCAGCCCATGTGTCAGGAAACCCGGAGAAGGGAGAGTTCCAGAGGCCTGGGAACACTTTTAGGTGCACCCTAGGCCCCAGAAGATCCCAGAGCAACACCCTCGATAACCTTGGGAAGGTGTCCCCACCTTCTTGTCTTCTCCAGACTCTCCCATGCTGAGAAAAAAAATGAGAGACTTACTGGCCTCATCCCCTGGAGTAAGTTAAATCCCAAACCAAACCTCAGTTTCTTCACCCATAAATGGGGACAATAACTCCTAACCATTTTTCCTCTAAGAGCTGCGAAAAAGTTTGAAAGATGTGAAACTCAGCTCATCCGGTCCCTCCCCCACTACACCCTCTCGCTGGCCCAGAGTGATAGAGCCCGCTGGGACTGCGGAAGGACCCCGGGCCAGGGTCCTGAGCTCTAGCCTCAGGCTCCAGGTCCCAGGGGCTCAGAGGGCAGCTGACTTGAGAAATCAAAGGTTAGGGAGGAGACCTTAAATAATTAAAGCTGAAACAATATTTTCAACACATCTCTACCAACATCTCATCGTATGACAGCGGTCAGGCTGTCCACATTTTCTGTATTATAACCAGCTGTTGCCTAAACCTGCAGGTTTAAAGGAAGGGAAGGACTATATTCATTGTGTCTCTACTTAGAAGCATCCGGTTCGCCCGAAATGTAACACGGTATTTCCAATTTTATACTTGAAGGAACCAAGAAGCAGAGAGCAGAGCTGACAGCTCCCTGGTGAGAGGGCAGAGTCGGGGTCTCCCGGGCTGTGCGTCCATCTCTCCGCCCCGCTTATCTCTGCTGGAGGGACATGAAGGAGATGCCGGAAGAGGATGGGGGAACGGGAGAGGAGAAAGGAGGTCTCATTTCACCCTAAAAGTCTAGAATCACCACCAGCTGGGAATCCCAAAATAGCCCCTGATTTACATGACACTTTGCTGGGAAGCAACAGGGTCTGGTGCCAACCTCAGCTCTCTCCAAAAAGACCATCCTGCCATCAGAGGATAGAGCCCAAGACCCTAAATTCCTCCGCTGCCACATAAGACTAGCCCATCTCGAAATGATCTGCAGGGTCATCATACCCGTCCGATCCCGAACACTTTTTTTTTTTTTTTAAGATTTTATTTATTTATTTATTTATTTGACAGAGAGAGACACAGCAAGAGACGGAACACAAACAGGGGGAGTGGGTGAGAGAGAAGCAGGCTTCCTGCTGAGCAGGGAGCCCAATGCAAGTCTCTATCCCAGGACCCCAGGATCATGACCTGAGCCAAAGGCAGACACTTAAAAACTGAGCCACCCAGGTGCCCCTGAACACTTCTGATAGGCTCCAACTCACCATCGTGACAAACAAATTACAAGGAGGTAGTTTTGGTGTCGTGTTGGCAGGATGTTTTAAAATTAATCTCTAGGGGCGCCAGGGTGGCTCAGTGGGTTGAGGCCTCTGCTTTCGGCTCAGGTCATGATCTCAGGGTCGTGGAATCGAGCCCCGCATCAGGCTCTCTGCTCTGCGGGGATCCTGCTTCCTCCTCCCTCTCTCTCTCTCTCTGCCTGACTCTCTGCCTACTTGTGATCTCTGTCTGTCAAATAAATTTTAAAAATCTTAAAAATAAATAAATAAATAAATAAATAAATAAATAAATAAATAAAATTAATCTCTAATGCTGACGAGTCTGTGGGGAAATGGGTCCTCTTACATTTTATTCGTTATTTGTGGGAGTATTAATTAGCAGCACCTTTTAGAACATTCCAGCAGTGCCTTGGACCCATGGAAACACAAACAGTGCTCAGGCATCAAAGATCTCCTCCACCCACCAAACTCAGACCCAGCTTCGTGGAAATTGGACAGCCACTAGCAAACGGGCCAACAAAAAGTAAAGCTGTTTTCACCTGCCCTGAGAGAAATGAAGCCAGTGGGTCCAAATTCAAGTGCTCCCCTGCCCCGCAACAAAAGAAAAATATAAAAGAAAATTGTTTTAAAGATCTACAAAGTTCTAGGAGTCGGGATTGTAGGGAAGGCCACAATGGCTGTGAGGCCAGTGATCCAGGATCCTGCAGCACTGAAATTGTTTCCTCCAAGACTAAATTCACACACACACACACACACACACACACACACACACACACGCACACAAATTGAGCTACTTAACAACAGAACTACCCAAAGTTATCTTAATTATAATAATCAACTAATCACACCCAGAAAAGTGGGGATTGCCAGCCATGAATGCACTCCCACACACCCACACATGCAGACACCCGCCTCTCCCTTCCTCTGCTGAGAATGTCTACCATCAGCTAGTCAATGCCCACCAACACATTCACAGTACACACACAGTGCCACCCAGAAATACAGCACAAGTCTGCGGTGGGCACCCCGAGTTTCCACAAACGCGCCAACTTTGAACTCCAACCTCTCCAGTTGGCCAGTCCAACATTTTACCTCACTTTCCCCTCCGTGCCCCACCTGAGTTGCCGGGGTCAGTTGCTGGTGCTGGGAATTGCCACCCCCCACTGTGCCCCACCCTGTTGCTGCCCATGGAGAAGAGAGTGACTGTGTGACTTGTCCATACTGAGGGATGGGTCTAGGGTGGGTGGGAGAGGAAGGATCTGGGAGAGAGTGAGTCATCCCAAGGCAAAAGGCCGTGGGGCTGTGGGTGGGCCTGGCCTGGGAGGATTTTTCAAAAAGGAAGAAGGCCGTGGGTGATGTGGTGGTGACAGGCAGGTCACTGGAACCCATGGAGGGACAGGCCAGCCCTCCATACAGGAGAGAAAGTGTGCCGTGCTCTTCAGAAGCCAGTAGCATAAGGAAATGGCTGCCAAGTTCCAAGATCACTGGAGCCCGAGCTCTGTGCCCAGTTATGAGGGCTGGTAGGACTGAATGGGGGACAGTGTGTTTTCTGTCCCCTCTACCCCACCATGGGGACACTGAGGTCTGATTCAAGGGAAGGCATCAAAGAAAATGGTGAGGGACTACTGCCCCCTTCCAACGGGGACCCCATGGTGTCTGAAGCAGTTCCTCAGGATGGATGGAAAGCCTGAGGATTATCACACACACACACACACACACACACACACGTGCGTGCACATGCAATTACAAAGTGGTCAAGGAAATTTTGATGATATTTATGAATTTTTTCTCAGGTTTGTTAATGATATTGTTTACTTATCAAAAGCCATTTTTAGGGACACTTGGTGGCTCAGTCAGTTGAGCGTCCAATTCTTGATTTTGGCTCAGATCATGATCTTAGAGTCGTAAGATTGAGTCCCGTGTCAAACTCTGTGCTGGGCATGGAGCCTGCTTAGGATTCTCTCTCTCCCCAAACCCCAGTAAATAAATACATAAACAAATAAATGAATAATTTTGAAAACCATTTTTAGGGGCACCTGGGTGGCTCAGTGGGTTAAGCCTCTGCCTTTGGCTCAGGTCATGATCTCAGGATCCTGGGATAAAGCCCCGCATCGGGCTCTCTGCTCAGCAGGGGCCTGCTTCCCTTTCTCCTTCTGTCTGCCTCTCTGCCTACTTGTGATCTCTCTCTCTCTCAATCTGTCAAATAAATAAATACATAAATAAATAAATAATTTTTTTTTTAAAAAACCACTTTTAGACGTGCATAGAGAAATTTTCAGGATGCAAGAATATAGTGCCTAGGATTTACTTACTATATACTTGCCGCCATCACTAATATAACTGCAGACTAGGGGGTGGGAGGCAGAAGCGAGGTGAGTGAGGATAAGAAGAAACGAGATTGGACCAAGCAGTAACAACTGTTGAAACTGGGTGATGGGTAGGTGGAGATTTTTCCTGTACTTTTGTATATATTGGAATTTTTCATATTAAAAGAAAGTAGTTTGGGGTGTCTGGGTGGCTCAGTGGGTTAAGCCTCTGCCTTCGGCTCAGGTCATGATCTCAGGGTCCTGGGATCGAGCCCCACATCAGGCTCTCTGCTCAGCAGGGAGCCTGCTTCCCCCTCTCTCTCTCTGCCTGCTTGTGATCTCTCTCTGTGTCAAATAAATAAATAAATAAAATCTTAAAAAAAAAAAGGAAAGTAGTTTTATGGATCTGAAAGGGAGACAACAAGACTTGTCAAGAGAGAATTATTCAGCAAGAATCTAAAGGAAGAAGGAAGCCACAGGGGTAGTGACGGCGACCTCACTGAGATGCATGCCCGCATCCCCATGAGACACCCACCCAACCAGGTTGCAGGCGGCCCACAGCCAGCCCCGCACCCACCACCCGGATCTCCGAAGTGCTGGCCAAGGCTCTGGGCAGGCCGCCCCTCGAGACTGGAAGGGCAGGAGCCTGGCAGCAGGTGGCAGGGAGACCCGGGCCAGGCCCCCGGGTGGGAGAGCTTCCTGAGCACCTGAGAGCAGAGGCCTGAGTTCAGGTCAGTTGTGCGACCAAGGACAAGCCACCAGCCGTCCCTGTGCTTCGGTGCCACTAGCTGTGAATGGGGAGATCTCTTGGCCTACGTAGTAGCACACAGTGGAAGAATGGAAGTGAAAGCACTCTGAACGCATCAAGGCCTTTGGACAGTGTAGGTGGCTCTTTTCACTCCCGGCCATGACGGGCTGGAGAAAGAAGCCCAGGCAGATACCATCTGGGTTCAGGTGCCCGTTCTGCCTGCAACAGGTGGGCTGTGAAACCTCAGAGAGTCTCCTTCTGTCACTGAGCCCATTTCCCTGTCTGTGCAGGAAGGGGCCTGGATAGGATCTTCTGGGTCCCCTCCAATTCAGACGTGATAGGGCTGGAGGCCTGGGCTGTGTCTGGCAGCACTCAGAGGGGACTGGGTTTGGGGGACATAGAGAGGAATTCTCAGAAGGCTTAAGGGATAAAGGCCACACCTTAAAAAAAAAATGCCAACTTTCCTCGGTTCATCCCAGAGAAAGGGGTACAACTCAGCAACTTGAAGCTATTCGTTGTTGGTGGACAGGTCCCTCAATCCCATGCTACCCCACAGAAATCCCTGGAAAGGAAGAATGTCCTAGCTATCCCTAGATTGAATGCCAACACCCCTGGGGCCAGCATGGCCTCCCCCACCCCCTGCCCCTTCTCTCTCCCCAAGCCGCACCCTGGGCGTCTGCCCTTTGACACCTCCTGGATGTGCTGATGACAGAGCCTCACAGAGGTCCTCCCTGGTCCCCAGTCTGAGCAGGCCCCCCCCCAGGGAACGGTGGGTGCACACTCTCCCAGGCCAGACCCAGGCAGGGCCCACTCAGCATTGCTTACTAAACAAATACCAGTGGCAAGTTTCTCTTCCTTTCCCCACGCAGGAGGCTCTCCCCGGAAGCAGCACCCTTGGCCCCAAACCCTACCCCGCATGCACTGGGCTTCAGGGTCCCCAGAAGCATAGAAGCCATGGGTTCCCCAGGCTGGATCCCCAGATACACTGGAAAGTATCTGGCCAAGGGTGAGGCAGACTTTTGGGGGACAGAGGCAGGAAGGAGCAGAGTGGGACTGGCTGCCCGCTGGGACCCATAAGTTAGCTTCACCTGCTCAGGCCCATGGGCATGTGGGCTCTTGGGCAGGGCATATGCCTGGAAGGGATCTGAGCCCCCTACACACTTTACCACTCCACCCTAAAACACACTCACAGGAGACATACGATCTCAAAGTACTACCGGAAAGGAAACTTGGCGACAGCTTCTCCATGTCACCAAATCCCAGGCTTACCCACTTCCCAAAACTGACCTGTGCACAACAGCAGCAAAAAAGCTTGGAGAGGTGGGCGGTGGGAGGGTAGAGGTAGGAGAAGTTGGGGGGTGGGGGTGGTTGTGCTGGGTTATTGTCTGGGGTACCAAGACCCTGCCTTCTCCTCCATTTCTCCACATAGGGGCTAAGAGGGGTCCTGCCCTGTTAAATCCAAAACACAGTCCCTCTCTGCCCAGAGATCCCCATGGAGGCAGACAGGGAGGTAAGGGCACACCCTTAAACCATGATAGCTTCTCATCGCACCCACTCTCCTCCATCTCCCTTCTGAGTTCTGCCTGTTGGTGTAATGTCCTGGGAGAAAACAACCCCCAGAACTTTTCTGTCTCGCTACAACTCCCTCCCCGCTTCCCCCAAAGCCTAAGTCAAACGGTGAGGGGCGCCGTCTAGACAGGAGAAAAAAAAAACCACGTCCTTGTTCCGGGCCCGCTCGCCTCGCGGGGCGCGCGTCTCACTCACCGTCCCTGCTTGGTGATGATCATCTCCGTCTGGTGCTGATTAAACTTGGACCACAACAGGTGGTTGTTGAGCGCGACTCTCAGCTTCCCGGACACTTCCAGTCCCGCGGGCAGCGCGTAGTCCTCGCGCGGCTCCGGGTAGAGTCCCGAGCGCGGGTCCGGGGCCGCGTAGCCGACCCCAGGCTGGTAGCCCTCGGCGCTCGCCGTCGGCGGGAAGGGCTCGCCCACCCCGGGGAAGCCGGTGGCCTGGGGCCGGGGCGGGTAGGCGTAGGCTCCGAGGAAGCGGCCTGGTGGAGCGGGCACCAGGGCGCCCCCTGCGTAGGGCGCCCCCAGGGTGGTGCCCCCGCGACGGTCGGCAGCGTCCTGGGCGCCGGGATCCGGGTAGAAGTAGCGGTTCTGCGGGTCGGCGCCAGGCGCCCGGCCCTCGTCGCTCGCCGGCATCGACTCGGTACCCGTCAGCATGTCTCCGCAGCCCCGCGCCACGATGCCCATCCGGGGCGGGCTGGCACCTGCCCGCTGCCGTCGGGGACCGGCCCCTCTCCGCGCGGGGGGCAGGCGCGGGGGGTCGCGAGGGGCGGGGCCCCGGGGGCGGGAACGCGGGTGGGGGAGCCCCACCCGAGCCCGGCCTCGGACGCCTGGGTCCTGCGCCCGCGTTCGGCGGGCGCGCGGCAGCTCCCGGGCTCCCTCTCCAGCGGGCCGCTGTCACTAGCGCCGCGGCGCCTTTGCTGTGGCTTTATGAAGCTCTCCGGGCTCCCCCCACCCCACCACCTCGGCGCCGCCCCGCCTCACCCCGCCCCCTCGTGGCTAATACTCTGCAAATTCTATGCAGTCGCCGAGGACTGGAGGCCCCCACAGTGTGGCGAGTCCCCAGGCGCCGCGAAATTCGCGCTTCAAGACTACCTTCTGGAAGAGTCCACCCGTCCACCTGAAAACGCCAACCTGTTTCTCTCCTCTGGACCCTCGTGGAAATTCCACCCATCCTTCAAGGCTCAGCTCTAAGGTCCCCTCCTACAGGAAGCCGTCGGTGATGGCGTTGGCCCGGATGGGACTCACAGAGCCTTCTGGCAGCACTCTAGGAGCAACTAGCAGGGTCTGTACTCAGTCCGAGCTGCTTAGACGGGAAACATTCAACAGATCCACTGGTGCCCACTGTGCGCAGAGGCTCTGTGCTAAGTGGCTTTGCCTGAAGTGTCTGTGTTCTTCCTCCAGGCCAGAGACCCAGGTGGGCTGTGTCCTATGCATCTTGTTCCTCCAGCCCCAAGGCAGACCTGGCAGCAGGTGGGCAGTGGGCAGAGATCCCTGAAGGGGACTGCATCGCTCCAGCCTCAGATTGGCAGGGCGCTGGGCGTCCTGGGGGTTAGCGAAGGCTCTGGAAGCAGCACTGACATGTCTCTCCTCTGGGTCTTGGCACTGACTCTGCCTGTCGCTCAGGTACATGTGACCTGGACAAGACGCTTCCCTTGCCTGAAAGTCAGCCTCACGTGCCTCCTGGTTAGAATGGGGAAAATTCACTGATCCACTTTTCAGAGGGGCTGTGCATCTCACCTGGGGGGTGGAAGTGTGCAGGGCTTTACCCCTTTACCCCTGCTGCCCGGAATGGATTCAGAGCTGGCTGACAGGAAGGACACCCACCTGTTCTGGGGGACTGCCTGCACGAGGGGACGACCACACCAGAGCTTTTCTTTCTCTATTTTCCTTTTCTGTTGACTAACACAGTCTTCTTATGATGAAAACAATCCCCCTCCCCCAGTTGAAAATAGCACCTTCGGAAGTTTTCCTGCATACAAAGGTAAAATACACTCAGAAAAAAATTTAAGCAGTAAAAGTAAAAATGGGACTATATAAACCACCCCAAATTCCACCCCCACCAGAAGCAAACTGGATTGACATTTTGGCGAATAACCCTCCAGACATTACCCCTCCAGACATCACTCCTTGCACACAGCCTTTCTGTCTTTTGTGTGCGTGCCCACACACACACACACACACACACACACAATTTTATATAAACACCACATGTGCTGCTTTGTAATATGTATTTTTTTTTCACTCAACAAGGTGTCATGGAATTTTTTACATGTCAATACACAGATAAAGATTTACATTTTTAAGAGTGTTTTGAAAAATACTTTCAATTTTCATCCTGATAAAGGTTAACCTCTCCTCTCATCGCACCCTCCCAGACCTCCTCACTTCTCCCCTGGGGGCTGGCCCCATCTTCCATCTCTGTCCCAGCACAACAGGGCTTCACCCTTAGGGGTCCGTGGGGACTCTCTGTTCTCAACTAGAGCTGAACCAAGAGGCAGGTTGGCAGGAGAAGGCGAAGCTGGGGACCCCGGGAGGCGGGCATGACCCAGGGAGGGTAGGGGAAGAGAGAATCAGTACATCCCCCAGTGGAGACCAGATGCAGGACAACACCAGAATTGGGAACGAACGGCCCCTCCCACCCCTTTACCCACCATTCCTCCCCCCCATCCTCCCCCCCCCATCCCCCCCCCCCCCCCCCCCCCCCCCCCCATGCCTTAGGGAGGTGGGAAGTTTCTGCCTGCTGTTCCAAGTGAGGCAGCCTTGCCTGAAAGAGATGGGACCTTGGGATCCTTGGCTACTTTTTGAGAAACACGAGAGATTTCAGTATGACTCCCCTGAATGACTAATTTCCCCAAGAGACTTGAGTGCTGACATCTCTTCTGGGAGACATTTTTGCTAAGTATTTGGCTGTGGAAGGCCAAGTGGAGTCTTGTTCCTCCCTCTCTCACCCTCCTCTTTTCCACATTAATCCTCAGGTCTAGAAATGGAGACATCATCCCCCTGCCTCTGAACAGGATGACCGGAGCTCCCACCCAGGTTTCCACGGGAGGAGGGATTATGAATCGCAGACTCAGGTGGACCCGGGGACATGTCCCTGGAGGAACAGGGTGCCTGGGGGCAGTCCCTCTCTAACCTGATGGCCTGTCAGGGGGCCATCAACTCCAGATTCCTCACCTCCTCACTCCAATTTCTTCCACCCAAAAAAGAAAGTGCTTGTGAAAAGCGGGGGCTGAGTGGCCCTAGTGTCACCACTGCCAGTCCCGCCCCTCCGCCAGCTCGGGTGAGAAGAAGAACCCTGGCAGTGACACCTCCTCCTTCTGCTGCTGCATCACCCTCTTCCCAGGCCCCAGGGCTGGAGGGGGAAAGGAGGAGCAGGAGACCAGGCCCCCTGGGATCTCCTCACTTCTCCATCACTGCCCCTCCCGGCCCCTCTCCCATCCCATCGGCCTGCTGAGCGTCCAGAAGGCTGTTCCACCAGGAGAAGCTACACAGGGTGTGAGTCCGGGATTTGAGAGGCACTGTCTCCTACACATATCACATGTGATGACACAAGCTGGATGGTGACTCTGGGAAACCCAGTGACCTGCCAAACTCACAACCTCACTCGTGGCCAAGCCAGGGCTGGAACCCTGGTCTCCGGACTCCTGATCCAGTGTTCTCGAGACTGTCTGCCTTCCCATTTCAAGTCAGAACAATAATAATAAATGAAAAGTCATGTAATCCCGTTGGAAGAGGTTTGGAAAACAGGAGAGAAAATTGCCCCTAACCCACCGGCTTGGACCCTTGTTTTTCTCACCCTGGGGTCCCACGCATGTTTTCAATGCTCCTTTTTCAAGCTGTTCCAAGACTCAAAATGAGGGAGGTCTCCTTGATGGCACTCAGCACCTGCCACACCTGGGGGTCACAGACTGTGCCAGAAGGCTCTGACAGTGTGCATTCCTGGGACCTGCTTCCGGAGATTCTGATTCCCAGGCCTGTGGCAGGTTCCCAGAATCTGTGTGTTCCAGGAGGATGCCAGGTGATACTGGGCTCCGGGGAGTCCGCACAGCCCCCTCCCGGCTCCTCTCCCCCTCCGCTCTTCCAGCCCCAAGCCCAGCACCATAGAAGGACATTCCGTGTGCCTGCTCCAGCTTGCGTGTGCCTCCCTGTGGTGGATGGAAGGGCTTTGATGCCGGAGGATGGAGGACAGCTGCCCCCAGCATAAAGGCTTCCTTATCAGCTTCAGGACCACATAATTCCTTCCTCACCGCAGAATCCAAAAGCCACCCCGGACCCTCTCCTTAAAATGTGTGGAGTGTCAGTGCACCTGGGTGGCTCAGTCAGTCAAGCATCTGCCTTCAGCTCAGGTTGTGATCTCAAGATCCTGGGATCAAGCCCCGCCTTGGGCTCCCCGCTCAGTGAGGAGCTGCTTCTCTGCTTCTCCCCCTCTCTCTGCCCCTGGACCGTCCCCATGTTCTCTCTCACTCTTTCTCTCTCTAAATAAATTTTTAAAAAATGTGTGGACTGTTGAGCTCCCCCAGGACCCAGAAGGCTCCTGAATGGGCTCACACTGCAGGTGCAGGGAGGGTAGGGCAGCCAGCTGGGGCCCGGGGGCGGGTGGGGGTAGGGGGGAACGGGAGCCGGGTTGGGGGGGAGCTGTGGAGACTCAGAGGACCCAGGATGACTCCCCTCCACCCTGCTGGACCCAACCTGAGAGGGTAGCTGGGTGAAAGAGAGGGGATCAGCATGCTGGGGATGAGGCAGGAAAGGAAGGAGAGGCACTGTGAGACTTGGGCCGTTCTGCAAAAAGCATTGAGAGATGCAAAAAGCATTGAGAGATGCAAAAAGATGGAGAGGGGCAGGGGCCTCAGTGAGGAAGTCTCAGGTTGGGTAACAGGGGGTGCGGGGGGCGCCTGGGTGTCTCAGTCAGTTGCAGGGTCCTGGGATGGAGCCCCACATGATCGGGCTTCTTGCTCAGTGGGGAGCCTGCTTCTCCCTCTCCTACTGCTGCTCCCCCTGCTTGTGTTCCCTCTCTGTGTCCGTCCAATAAATAAATAAAATCTTTTTAAAAAACGAGGGGGTACAAGACAGAAGAGAGGGAGACAAAATAGGGAGAGGGTGAGGAAGATCTACAGAGGCAGAGCAGCCTTGAGAGCTGGGGATAGGGCAGAGGGAGATGGTAGGGTAGAGGGAGATGGGTAGGCTTGGAGCCCCAATTCCAACCCTCGCTGGCTGTGTGACCTGTTCCAGTAGCTTAGCCTCTCTCGTTTCCTAGTCAGCAAAAAGAGCCGGTAGACCTTCTGCAAGGACAAACTGGGTGAACTGGATCCCAAGTGAGCTGTGAGGTCCTGTAAAGGGGAGGGGTTTGGCCCTAAGACAGGCACAGATCAGAGGCACGGGCTGGGCTAAAGTGCTTCTTCTTCCCTCTCTTCTGAGCCGTCCACATCCTACTCTCCTCCCTCCAGTGTCTGTAGGTCCCTCACTCAGGGTCCTTGAGGCCAGCCCCCAGCCTTTCACTAACGGCCCTGAGCCTAATGAGAGCTTCTCTCTAAGACTTCACCTCAGAAAGGACAGGCTTCCCCTCCTGAGATGCCCATCCACCATTCCCTAGAGGATCTTGTCCCTGAGATGGGCCAGCCGCCCCCACCCCTGGGACTCTGGGGTCACAGAGATCAATCTCAGTCCCAGCTCCTGCCCCCAAACAGCTCCTAGCAGCCTGAGGCCAGGGCCAG